CACCACCAATGAAACAGTAGTTCAAGCATCCTTTCAAGACGGAATTCGACTGAGCACGATTGAAATCGGCCACTAAAAGAATGATGCACACAGTGAAAAAACTCCGATAAGAACGACGAAAAGCCATTGTTACAATGAAATTGACTATAATAAACTTTGGTAGCCACTATATACGCATCTGCATGTAATTTGATCGTATCATGATTTGATCGATTCTATATGATACCATATAGACAAACATTCTAAGGAATAGAATCACCCAGTCTGTCCCTAATCCTATAATTGGCGTTGCTTTCAGCGAAAATGAATCGATAGTTGGGGTAGCGTTGTCACTCCCTCTAGGTATTAAGTGCACTTGTCAGCAGGCTTCCCATAAAAAAACCGAGTTTTTCCACAAGATGAATAAGGGTATCTGTATGGATGTGGGTGCGTCGTGGATGTGGGATGTGAGGTGTGGATGTGAGTGTGGGTGGGGTGCGGCTAGAGTGTGCGTGTAGGATGTGAGTATCGATCAGAAAAAGAGAAAATGCACACCCACAGGGTGTGGCTGGGTGTGTGGTATGGGTGTGGGTACGTTGTTAAAAACTGAAAACAACACCTTAGCCCATACCCCACACCCACCCACACCCACACCCACATCCACATCTACACACACCTACACCACACCCACACCTACACCCACACCCACACCTACACCCACACCCACACCCACACCCACCCACACCCTTTTTTATCTCTTAATCCAAAATACGTATCAGAACACCCAGTGCGATGTCGAACGATAGGTGTCACCTGAGTACAGCGAGTTTCAAGGGATCTGAAGGTCAAAAATATCTTTTCAGAACTTTCAAAAAGGTCTCCGAACGTTTCTTTCTATCTTAATAATTTTGAAAAAATTACAATATTTGTAATCAGCACGCTTAAATTAATCGAAGTAAGAATACAACTGGTAGGACAGCAGTAAAAACTAGTTTTCGATATTTGGGAGAGAACACGCATATGAAAATTTGAACTGCAATAATGTATAAAATACATTTGTGGAAAGTAATCAGGATTCAATACTGCCTTTCAGACATGCAATAATAGGATAAGTTTTCTGATGCATATGATCCGCACTTGGATATAACTTCCTTCTTCTAATTTCGAAAGATTTGAAAAACATTATTTGGAATCCGAGGTCTGTTAGAGTAGAATCCATGGAGCCGTTGCTACATTTAAAAAGAATAGGTCGTCGACGACAACGGCCGTTTACGACAAAATATGGCAAGAAACGATGAACGTTGATTAAACCGTTTACCACTGACGTATACGATGACTTACGACTTTGTTAGATAGTCGTTTACAGTCGTCGTATTTTTACGGGAGTCGTAAACGCTGTGAGTTTACGTTAGTCATTTACGATGGCCGTAATAGACCGTAATGCATCGTTTACGATGGTTGTGAACAGCTATCGTACACGGCTGCCGTTTTCCACCGTATTTTGACTGTGTACGGCCGTTTACGGCCGGGCATCATTCACCTGGGAAGCAGCTGCGAAGAATTGCCAACGCTAAGCAGTAGCCGACATTTTTGACTGACTAAGAAGATACAACAGAAAACAACAGAGATGCGCGTTTAGGTACATATATGATAGCAGATGCAAGTGTGAATATGAGTATAGGCATATGTGTAGTGTATGGGTACCTGAGTTCAGAGAAAGTTCTAAACTGATGATCTTTTACGAAAAATGAGCTAATCCCAATTATTCTAACAGTTCAGCTCGCGTCGTGAGCTGTATACACGAAGTCTAGTAGCGAAATGAAGGTGTTCAGAACTCTTTAGTATTCTCTCTTGAAATTGAAATGTTAGCAGCTTAGCCAACTATACTGGAAGAATTAACTGCGATGCTAAAATGCCACATCTGATACCAGAGGCCTTTCTGTAAATATTTTGGATGATCTAAAATGCTCGAGATGAACTGCGATACTATAGTCTGCATCTGGAATGTTCACAGTGTCAGTTGGGTTGCTAGCAGCATAACTACGGATTCTATATCATCAAAGATAGTGTTCATTTTATCCCATCTGATCCAATAGAATCTCAGAAGGTCCTTGGCCTCACAGGGAATTCTTTTAGCGTCCTGGGTGGCTCTCTAGAACTCATATGTGGTGCTTCTAGCACGCCTTTGTCAAGATGAAATAACAAACATTTCATGACACCTAAGCTCTATTATCTGATTTCTTGTTGACTGCTCGTGATGCGAACAAAGCTCTTAGAAGGTTCAGGTCAGTTCTTACGACTATTCGAACAGTGCTTCTGATCTAAACTGATCTTTTAGAATAGTATATGAATTTATTTGAGTTGAGTTCATGAACTGGAACTATCGTAAATATATTGCAGCAGAAGATGAAAATGCACGGAAGGGTGCAGATATATGGATATAGATATAGATGGAATCGTAAATGTGATTATGATTTTAATAATGAAGTATTCAGATGAAGAAAGCTTTCAGTTTTTTTCGATGAAGTAAAACCGTTTTCTAAGCTGTTACATTGTAAGAATAAAGTAGCTTGTACATGAGAGAAGATGTTAAGTCAGGAGATGTCTCTCCTGACATAAAGAAGCTCTACCTATTCTCTTGTGATGTCATCACTGTACATCAATGGTATTCTTACTCTTCTTTCTCAATGGCACTTTCACCATGGATGAAGAAAGATAAAGAATGGAATAAGAGACAGAGAGAAAATCGCATTCTTTGCTGCTTTTTGTTTTTTTTTTATTCATTCGATTGTTTGTTTTTTTGAAAGAAAGATAGAGAAATAAAAGAAAAAAAGGAGTTCTAACAGAAGAAATACACTGTCGACCAAAAGTCTTTTGAAGAATGATACGCAACTCTAGTCGTTGAGGTACTAAAACAATGTGTATTCATAGTCTTTCAAATTTGACCACAAAATCATTAGATGAATCAACCACATAGAGATTCATATTCGAGTCAAATGAAATATGTTCGGGTGAGTCGAGTAGAGGTGCAATAGTAGTTGCCACTACAACCTTACCAATTGTTGAATTGACGCAGTACATCACCACCCGTTTATTGCCTTTGTCGGCAACATACAGATTCCCATAAACATCATAGTTCAAGCCTCTAGGATTCCTAAGCATTGTAGAAGTGTTATTAACTTGCGTAAGAGATACTTTAGGTGTAGTTGCATTGAAGGCCCATAAATAGACCGCATCCGTATCTTCAGAGCTAACATAAGCTTCTGTAGATGAATATAAAGATAGTAAAAGTCCATAGAATCCAGGAGTGGACGAAGTACCAATGACAATTATACCACTTGTTGCATTTGGAGTCCATTTCGTGACTCGACGATTGCCTCTTTCAGCAACGTAAAGATTTAACTCATCATCAAGGTCTAAGCCCAAAGGATATTTGAGATTGGTCAATGCTGATGTACCAGAGCCCAGTATTCCTGCAACATTAGTATTGCTGGTGAAATCTGGAGAATAGCGTACCACCCTTTCATTATTGTGACCTGTTATATATAGAAATCCGTTCTTGTCAAAAGTTATGGATTCAGGATGATCTCCAGTAGAGCTAACATTGACCACTGTAACACCGGCTGTCGCTCCTGAGACCCATTTTTGGATTCGATAATTGTGATGGTCGGCAACATAGAGTGTATCATTGGCATCAATGTAGATCCAAGCAGGATCGGTGAATTGATTGGCAGCTGAACCACGTGTACCGTCACCAGCCACTATGACACCTGTTTGATTCCAACGGAGATTTAGACCTAAAAGTCATCTGTCATACACACATGTTTTTTTTTCTACGAAAAAGTTGCTTACATGAATCATAAACAGTGGTGGTCGTTGTCGCTGTTGTCCCTAAAAAAATCGCATCGTTAAATCAGATTGTACAGGTCTAGTCATTAAGAGATACAGTAGTAGCAATACTCAATACTATTGGTAGACATGTACTGAACCTGAACTTCTTGAGATTCAGTCGTCCTTGGGAGCACCTTGAATCTTCAAGGCCTACTATAGGGGAACATCTTAAAATCCTCAAGTTTTCTTATACTAATATTGGTCCAGGTAGCATAAGATAACGATGTCCTGAACAATGACTCCTCGAAAAATGGGCTAACGAGGTTGTGGGATCGCATTTCTTGGCGATACATCGAAGGGAACTTTGAGCATACATCCCTCATTCAATGGAAAAAGAAAAGTTCTCCTAGAATTCTATTGTTCCGTACTTTGATCAATCAGTTTTCAGGAGTCATTTTCTTTCTTATCGTACCAATAACGACCAGTCATGTTTGAGTCGGATCTAGCGTTATCGTGAACACTGTACTGACTGAGGAGTATATCATGGAACTTGGGTGTGTATGTGTGAGTGTGGGTGTTAATCTTCTTTTGACAACAACATCTATACTCACTAACCCACACTCACCCACATCCACCCTAACCTATTGTAACAGTATAGATACTGCAATGATTGGTGAACTTATTTTAATCACGCATCAATAGAAGTGAAGCGAGAATAAAGAAAGTTTTCTACTTTAACGTGCTCTAAGGGTGGTTTCAAATTTTATCTTCAAAAATTCTTTTTTAGCTATTTCAAATCTATCATAGATATGTGTCGCAGAGTTACTGATGTGCTGTCATTCGAAATGAATCAAATCTAAGCAAAAGCCGAAATACTTTAGTATACTTCTCTGTAATTCACAATTGAAAGTGCAGAGAATTGCAGTGAAGTACTTCGACTTTTGGTTACGATAGATTCATATCAAATGACGTTAGATTAGTACTCCAGTATCACATATCTATGATAGACTTGAAATATGCAAAAAAAATTCGAAGGTAAATGTCAAACACCCTTCGTGTACGGTAAAGCACGGTAAGGTGTGACTGAAGTCTAAAATTTTGCTTTTGCCGACCTAATCGCAGTCCATTTTTCTACATACCTGTTGTTGTGCTGGTACTTTCAGAGGTTGATGTAGAAGAGGTTGTCGAGGTCATAGTTGTTGTAGTGCTCGTCGAGGTCGACGAAGATGCACTCGTTGAGGTGGATGAAGATGTGCTCGTTGAGGTGGATGAAGATGAGGATGAGCTCGTTGAGGTCGACGAAGATGAACTTGTTGAAGTCGACGTAGATGAGCTTGTTGAGGTCGACGTAGATGAGCTTGTTGAGGTCGACGTAGATGAGCTTGTTGACGTCGACGTAGATGAACTCGTTGAGGTCGGCGTAGATGAACTCGTTGAGGTTGAGGTTGATGAAGAGGACGATGACGATGAGGTCGTTGAAGTCATCGCTATGTTTATAGAAACAGGCACATTATTAGATGTCTTTTCGATATTTCACAAGTAGTGGAACGAAACTTAATAATCTAGTGTAATTTTAAGGAAAGAACATGGGCGTATAGGACTGGAATTCGCCCCCTTTTGATTTAGGCTACGAATGTCGTATTTTTTTTGAAAGTACTAACAACCACTTTTTAGATGACTTTTGAATACTTCGAGCTACTAAGCTACAGTTTTCAGTGGTGGATAAAGCAAGGTAGGGGGCATCTATCTATTATACATAGTATTCACTGAAGTCGTGACTTATCGTCATGTGTTCGTCCGAATTATGAACTTCTAGGATGCCAGTTTCCCAAGATCTGCATGGTCATTTCGAATAAAACCATCATAGATTGTAGCCCTCACATTCTTCTCTTTAGGGTACAATTTAAAAAAAATATTTATATTGCATTCTTGAAGAACAAGGCGTTCTCTACTGTGATACTCTCGAATAATACTATACACAGAATCTGTGTGAGTGTAATTATTAGAGTAAAAAGCTGACTTAAATGTACATTCATACCCTCTTAATGATGATTTCTCATAAAGAGATATCGGAATTGGAACTGCGAAGAGAACATTGTTCGAAGAAGAAATCAGGTTACGGAGTAAGAACACCTATCTCTGCAGTTCTCTAACTTGGAAACGTCCACATCGACACGATCACATTTACAGCATTATCTTCTTACTAACGAGTATTAATGAGTAGATCTAGTAGTGTAGAGTCTTTTGGTGGGTTTGCATGGACATTATTTTCATGCTTTTTCTTGTAGGTCTTACGCTTCTGAAACACCTCAATATGTCAACTAGAAGAATCGTTTTAGCTCAATAGCACTAGTTTGAGCGAAAAAATTTAAGTAGAGACAGAATTCAAGTCTATACGCTTGAATAAGCCACAAGACAGAAATTTTGGTAGTAAGATTCGATCAAAACATACTTGAAAGTATTGATGCAGATCCTGTTGATGTTGATGTCAACCACAACGTGAGCAGAACAGCTAAAATAATTCCACCGAGTAACATTCCGACAATACAGCATTTTATGCATGGACACCAGGCATAGGCTCCTCTTCTTTTACGCCTTCGTCTTACATAAATAAATTAATGAATACATTATATATGTAGAACTAATTTTTGAACATAGTTTACACTTTTACTTTTTTTTGTCCTCGTCCTCTTCTTCTTTCCAACATTCCTTTTCGACACAGATATCAATTTTATATGTTGTCGGTGTCACATCATATGACCATATGGATAGTTGGGGAACACTCATTGCTAGTATGTTAATTATATAAAAGATTCACTGGATGATGCGAGCGTTGTTTATCACCAGCAGTGAGGCTTTACTTCGATTTCGTCTTGATTTGACGATGAGATTGTTTTGATTAAACCTCTGATTTCGTATTGACATTTTTATTTATAAGATGGTGCTTTTCATTCTTTTGTAGAAGCCTGCCTTCAAAAAAGGGAGGGAAATCGAACAAGGTCTTGTTTAATAAAACAAGAAGATTGCTTTTATGTAGCAACTCTCATTCCTTTTTCTTCATGACTCAGTATTTCTGCATCATAGAGAAGATCAAGCAAAATAATGAGTGAAAGCTTTTTTCACTCATTTTTTTAAACATATTGATACTTTTGATTGAAAATAGCTCGATTGTG